TAGTTTTGGTGCTGGACAGCTTGGGCGATTCTGATACTGCAACAAGGCACTTTCTTTCTGAGTTCACTCTTTTAATACATGTTTAATATTTGAAAGAAATTAGATACTTTTCCATAAGGTTGTGGATAGGATTGTTTACACACGCCTAAATTATTTTGCTATGAATATTTTTGCACAACCATCTAATCTTTAAAATGCGGGCAAGTACTACAAATTACAGCTCCTCAGTATATACTCATGAAGTACTTTCCTCCTGGTTTAGAAGGTCTGAAGGGTAAGTAAGGAGCTGAGAAGCTTTGTTATTCATAATTTCTACTACCCTGAGTAAATCTGTAACATGGACACTACAGAGTTACAGAAGAACCTTTTTATAATGAACAATAGGGCAATACCATGTCCAATTAAAAACTTTGCAGACAGATGTAAAACGAAACGAGCAATCTGAGGGGTGAGGGGGATACCGGTGACACAGATACAGGATTAGTGGGCCCCCAGATTTGCTGTTCACACTCAGGAAAGATCCGCGTCAGCAGTTCTCTGCAAGGATCAGCTCAAAGTTCACCAGCATTCAAAAAGAGTGCTAGGTGCTATTAGGAAAGGCTTTACAATGCAATAGAAAATACGATTGTGATACTGTAAAAATCCATGGAACAATTCCACCTCACATATGTGTGTTGGTCTCTCATCAAAGGGTTCAACAGAGCCAGAAATGTTACTGAGAATGCTAATAAAGGATGATGGCATGTGCAAATGTATTTTACTTTCTCAGCTTGGAAAAGAGAGAACAAGAGGCAAAATGAGCAAAGTGTGCTCTTCATGACCAGTGTGGAGAAGATGAATAGGGACTGCTTGTTTACAGTTTCTCCAAAGAGAAAAGGAAGCAGACATTAGCTAAAATTATCTGGCAGCACTTTTAAAGGAAAAGGAAAAGTACTTCTTTAGTGCAATACAGAAATAAATGTGGAATGAAATGCTACTCATCCAGTGCTATGAAAACGCACAGTACACAGAGGTCCAATGAGAAATTAGAGGAATGAACGATATAAAAGTTCATCAAAATCTGCAAACCGCCAGGCACACTTCACAGGTACTTATCAGTGACCTTATGTTTTCTCCCTTTCCTCCTGTACCACAAGTTTTGTTTCTCTTTGTTAAGAATGTACTTAAAAATCAGGGGCTGAGATACTTTGATTTCAAAGTGGAAAGGGAACAAACAGCAGCATTTGTTGGTGATGGTGTCTTGGAAAAAATTGTCAAAGTGTACATGCAGCTTCTTCCAACTGTGGGGAAGCAAATGAAAATCATTAAACTTCAGGACTGCAAAGTTAGTAGATTTTATTATACTTCTCTCTATTTTGTCTATAAAGGTGGACATGTGTGAATGTCTGTGTGTGCCCAGGAATTACATTCTGAGGAGCATATTAGGTCTCTCTACTTGAAAGGAGAGGAATTATTGTGAATCTGCTGGAGTTTGGGATATGGTTTGGATGTGGTGTCAGGTGATGTTTGTAGACTGTATTCACCCACAGTTTAGGGAACAGAAGATGCAAGAGTTGTTGCTAGTCCAATTTGAGGTTCAGAGCTACTGAAACAAGACGTTTAGGATATGAAAGAAAATGAGTTCTATTACGAAGAGTGTAAAAAGCCGGTGAAAACTGACAGTCTATCTGCCTAAGCAGGAAAGTGAGTAGAGGAGGAAAACTGTTGCAATAGTATTGCAAGGCATGTAATTATCACTGAAATGGTTTTCCAGAGGACAACAGAAAAATCATGACTGGATAGTGTATTGACGTGATGACAAATCGATAGTGTTGAAATTTTCTGGGAAACTATTGTTTTCTTAATCTTTCAGTTCTAGATGAGGCTTCAGTTTTTGGAGCCCTGCAGTAATGTTCTCATTCTTTAAAAAGGGTTTTTTAAAAAAGTGTGTGTGTGCATGTGTTTTGAAGGGAGGGGGTGGGAAGGGAATGTTGCTGGAAAGCAGCCCGCCCATCTGAGCTCCATCCCAGAAACAAACTTACTGCAATGGGAATATGGGGCTTCAGTGCTGTGTGGAGCAACTGGAGAGCAGAGGCATTCCAAAGTCAAGCGACAGGGGGAACATCTGAGCAAAGCGCTGGACATGACATGTGCTGCTTGGAGAATGCGGAGAAAAGAGCATGTCCTTTCTGTGAGTGGTGGGACGGGTACAGCCATCCAGACCAGTAGACTTTTGGCACTTTGTGAGACAGCTGAGCACTGTATGAACAAAAGAAGGGCAACACAGTTGGCACCATGAGCTCTTCCCTCCCTGCTTGTATTTCCACCCTGCTGGTCTTGACCTAACTGGGAAAGACTCTCTGTGCTAGGTTGAGGCAGTTATTTTAAGCAATGTCACCTCTGCTATCGGCTCTCTCAAGAGTTAGCTTGCTCTTCTGCCTCTTTGCACCCTTGTTTTCAAAGAGAAATTGTGGTTTTTGCACTAGATGATGATACACCCCTAAAATTTCAGGGGAAGTCAAAGTGTCATCAGTCGGACAGAGGCACTCAGTGTCAGTAAGCACACTGGGTTTGCAAGGTGTGTTTTCTCAGGTGGGAATGTGGTAATGCTCGATGCCCTCAGAGTACCTCCATGTGACTGCCACGGCTACCCAAACAGAGAATTGGCTCTGACTGCCCAAGGTGACTTGCACTGCTCTTCATCTGAGGCAGTGCGATGTGTGACCAGCCCAAGAAGAAGACAGCACTAAGGTAAGCAGCGATAGAGGTATGAGGACAAAGGCCTTTCCAAGAAAGGGCAGGCTGGTCACAATGCGGTCTGAGCATTATCAGCCGCTCTCGCAGTTGACACTCTATGGATGACGGCTGTTGGGTATCCCACAGCTGTGCCACAAAATCAAAAACCAATTCCATTCCAGTTGCATTGCAAAGCCACAGGCAATGTAGCTGCACAAAGATGGATAAATAGCAGTTTTATACTGGCTGGACAACCACGACCAGGAGCTGGTGATATTAAATAAAACCATTTTAAGGCAAGCAGTAAAAGGCAAGCTCATGAAAGTGAAAAGAAAACCTTGAACTGGGTTCTCCGTGTGTTTTGTGTGTGCATGAGCTGTTGGGTAGCTGGACAATGCAAGACAGGGATTGTGTCCTAATTCAGTGAGGGATATATCTGGGAAAGTTGATATCTCAGGGCAGTTGCTGTGCATCTTGTGCAGCACGTGGATGACATACAGCAGCATTGCCAGGAAGACAAGCTGAGGTTAAGGCAGGTCTTCCTAGACCAGCACTTGTGTTTACTAAAACCAGAGCTCAACCAGCCTTCGTGGAGCCACTATAGGAGGAACTAGGAAGCTTGCAAAGAGCAAACATTGTGATAGCAGTGAGGCTACCAAAAGCATCAGTAGCTAGTGTGTGTGATAACTGCAAGTAAAGGTAAAATCTGTATTGCTTTAATACCTGAATTTGTGAAGCCCATCTATGGCACTAAGTAGGAAATTAATACTCAGATGACATTGTATATATGGGTCTGTCTTAGTGCTAGGGAGTATTTACAAGGATTTGGCGAAAGTAATGGGCAACCCAGAACTGATGTCATTGACCTGGGAATTCCTGGGAAGGGAAGTTAATTTTCAGAAGGAGCACTTGTGTACCACATTTTTGTCACAGAGGTCTTGAAGGAAGTATTCATTTTCACCAAGTTTGTTTCTTTAGGTGAAACAAAGGTCAAGTTTTCGTGACTGTCTATACGATTGTCCGGTATATGTGAGAGAATTGTGGTGTACACGACTGTAGAGGCTCATACAATTAGTTTCTGTGAGACATCCAAAAAGTACTTAGTAAACCACAGTCTGTTTAGTCAGATCTGTGAGCTGACTATGGTTGGATCAAATAAGAATATATCAAGTCTTGCATTAAAATTGCCTTTTTTTTCTGAGTGCAAATGGTTCAAAAAGAGGACTTTGAGACCTTTCTTCTTCAGTTACTTACTTTTTGGTGGTTTGCTCAAAGCTTGGTACTGAATTTCACCCCCTTACAGGCTAAAAATCATATTTCATCACGAGGAAAGTTGTAGCATTCTCTAGCATCTGGCAGACTATGTCAAAACATGAGTGTAAGATGCAGGCTCTGTAGAGCCTGTCCCTATGAGTACGGTCTGAGGTCCCATCTGCACTCATTTTTGGGGAAATAGGGACTTTATTGTGCCACCTCTAATTAGCCTGAGATCTAGTAGCAGAAATTGTAGAACAAAGAGTCATACTGGTCACTTTGCCTAAGCTGTGATACTTGAAGAAATGATGCTTGAAAGCATATCATGTCCAGTATGTGGCAGGAAGGTGGGTGCCTTACCTGCCTGGCACTGCAAGGGACAAAGAAATGGATTCAATCCAAAGCAGAGACACTGAAATAAATATACTTCATTATAATAAACCAGGCAACTAGCCATAATATCTGAGACATTAAAGTTTTTTCCTTCATGTGTTCAGATGTAAAATTATGAGGAGTCCCTCTGGTAAGAAAGAAATGAGCTGATTCTGTGACTCAGGGAGGAGAAAACTAGCAGCTACATCTTTGTCTCGGGGAGAGAAAGATGTCATGTACATCATGTTTGAGGAACTACAGTTCTTTGTGTGTGTTTTAGCTAAACAGTCATTTTTTAATCCTGTATAATTACAGCTTCAGGAAGTCTTGCATGTCCGGTTCATAAAGTAGTCATGTCAGCAGTTTTAGCTTGGGTTTTCAGCCTGTTTCAGGGCATGTTCCCCAAAACCCAGCTTCTTTTAAAGTCTTTTGCCTAGGAGATAGAAGCTTGTCCCAACAAACTATCACCAGTCATGGGCCAGGGTGTGCAAAATGTTGGGTTTACATTATCTCTCTTAAAATGGACTCATACTCACTCTTTCAGTGACATTGCTTGAATTTTAACAAGTGCTTTTTTGTTTGCTTCCTTACTTTTAGGCAGGACTCAAACATAGCTAATGGCTTCGTGGTGGCAGAGCGGGCAGAGGGGGTACAGGCAGTATGAACTAGGATCGCACTGGTAGGTTCAGCAAAGAAGTCAAGAAGAAAAGGCAGCAAAAATCAAATTTCCACCGTTCCAACAAGGATATGCCCTGCAAGAACAGCTCTTAGCCTGGAACCTCGTATGAATTTCTTGCACCAGGTCTTGCCACACCACATTCAGCTTTTTGCTCCAGGCTGCCCATGCTTGCCACAGGCAAGTTTTATTGCAGCAATAGGCAGAGCTCAGCTGAAATCCCACTCAGCAAGCCATCCCGTGTGGACGTGCCTCCACCCAAAGACTGAAATGAGACCTGCGCAGGTCTCATCAGTTTACTGATTTTGGGAAAACGAAGATAGCCTCCAGTTTTCATCGCCGTGTGCAGAGGGGGATCAATGACAAATGGCAGCACTTGCAGAGAACGGTCTGAGCTCAGCTGCAACGTAAACACTTCAGCTAAAGCAAAGAGATATATGCCATGATGGGACATAGCTGTGGCAAAATGATACCAATTACCTTTCCCTCCCAGCTCCAACAGAAAATGGCTCCCTGTATTTCAGACACATCTGCCTCTTGCTCAAAGATACTACTCTCCTGGTGCAGTTGTTAAAACTATATGCTAAGGTATGTCTATTGAATAAATGCCAAAAAGTTGCATTATTGAATGATTAAAAGACTGTTTAATCATTAGGTCAGTAGATCTGCTTTTATACATTTCTTATCTTCTGTAATTCCTTCTCCTTTTGGTAATAATTAGCAGGTACACATTAATCCTGTGCATGACCCCTATCGATAACTTTTGGGTGTACTTTTAAAAGTAGCTCTACAGAGCATACCTGGAATGTCTCCTGGATTAAAGTCCCTCTGCTGCCAGTCATAAGTCGCCTCCTTAGAAAACACTGCGTGTGCTTGCAAAGCGTGAAACAGGATCACTTTTGCTCATGAACTGGACTATTGTAGAAGGAATGTGTCCGGAGATAGTCTGTGATGCTGTGAAAATGAGGGCACCAGGCAGTGACCATCAGATCACGAGTAGATGGTAAAAGCTTGTGTAACATTAAATGTGGATGACTCTAGCTTGTTAGCCTTTCATTTCCCCACGCACCTTCTCCACGGCCCTGGTAGGTATAACTGCATCTGTAGCTGCACTGCAATAGGGCAGTTTCTGTGCAGGTGGTAGAAAATTGAGTTTTTGCAGGGAAATCCCTATCATAATATAGAACAGGATGTTGATTTTTTTAATACCTCTTCTCTGTACATTTTCTGTTAAAAAGGAAAAAAGCAGTAAGTGGCATCCGAAGTTCTGGTCTAAAAGGCTCAGACTGTTCGGCAAAGAAACCAGGGCTGGTTGTCTTCCTCACTCAGGTCACACACTGACCTACGCAGGTGGTGAATGGGGTTGTCCTCTGAGAGCCTGTTGCTGCAGAAGTTGGTACATGCATATGGTGGA